AGAGGGAAGCCCGGCGTTAGCCGGCCGGTCCTACTGTCTTTATATATAAAGCGGTAACTTTGTGTGCCTGTTTGTGGGTCGGTTTGTGCGTCTTTCCGAAAGTCACTTAGGCACTATGAAGGGTGTTAATGTCACTGAGCGCGGTGAGGAAGCAGTTATGAAATGGGAAGTCAACCAATACTGTCCATATTGGTCCTCTAACAAGTCGTAGGTAAGCGTTAGTGGGCATGTGGTGCACGCATTAGCGTGCGTAGCCAAACTGGTAGCTTCAAAACTGACAAAGCAAATGTCTACGAATAATTTCCACCCAAACGACTTCATCGGCTAACGTGATAGGAGTCATAATGCTGCCTTTCTGGGAGGAAAAGTTTTCTTCGTATTATCAATAGTCCCTGCTGAAGTTAGCGCCAACTATGAAGGCGTCTCAGAAGGCATAAAGAGAATTCATTCGTCAGCGTAAAAGCATTACCCTTCTGCCAGGAGCCTTTCTCTAACTGTATGGCTGCCTGACCGGCAGGGCGAGTGAATACACTGTGCTAGTTATGCTAAATGTATTTGCGAAACAGCAAAAGAGACCTGAAGAGACTCTGGTAGGGATTTCGCAAATTGTTTTTGCCCTTCTGGGGCTCCAGAGAAGCCGAGTGTTGCACAAAAACCATCCCGAAATGTTCACACTGTTTCCTCCACACCCATCTCATGCCGAGCGCAATCGAGTGTCCTGGCATTTCATAAGTTTTCAGGAATGTATCGCAATCGAAGTCCCAAAACTGTAATGACAAAAAGTTGGTGAGTTGCGGGCAAAACGCTATGCCTCAAACCCATTCTTGTGTGTTTTAGGCAATTTGCTTTTGTCCTTACCCTACCGAATCACAACTTCTCTTCCTCAACTTCTTGAGGGCACTTCAGCCATAGCTCGCTGGCAGAGCTGATGAGTTGCAACCACAGGACAATTGATTCCCCAAGTCTGAAGCTTTCGCGAAGAATCGGGATCGTCGACTTGTTGGTCGTACTAGCGTCAGCTTGTCGAGGAATGCTAGATCAGCAACCATCTTAGTCTGATGGTCTTCACAAAATCGGGTTTGTCAAGCATCTTAGCTCGTTGACGAGATCGAAACTCTTTATTTTCGTTGCACATGCTTACAACAGGGAGCTTCGAGCATTGTCTTTTTCAGACCGCCGCGTGTGTAGTGACTCAGCGTTTTTGTCGTTTTCTCTGCGTCTCTCCAAATAGGCATCTTACCGCAAAGAGGATAGAGGGCAGACGGAAGA